ACACCTAGATAGACTCCCAGAACCAGCTAAGCTATAGCCCAGCTATGAAGGAAACAGACGTTTAGCACGGAGCACGTTTATTCAGTAGATATGCCACGCAAGAAGTGTGTACAGGAAGGAAACTCAGTCATACAATATGGCGGATTAGATAAAACAAGTGAGGGCCCTTGAGCTGCTATTGGCTGCGTGCTCTCATCCTCAATCCGTACGCGAAGTCGTACGGCCGCACCTCAAACCTATGTGTACGCGCATGCGATGACGTGTCCCACACTTTGATGACAGTTTTCTAATGTTTTGTCTACTACTAATAATTGCCCACGGTATATTTAACAAAGTTTGGTTTTAATTATGCAAAGCAAATGACACTGAAGAGCAGTAATTCCACAATTGATTATGCGGAGGGAATCTTGAAGGTATGGGGAGCGAACGTCGAGGTGGGGGCGGAGAGTCAATTTCTTTCTCTGTTTCCCAGAATCGAGTTGTTCAAAATTTGATGGCAAATGGGCAGTTGGCGAATGTAAATTCAAATTTCAAAATGCAACCTCAAAAATGTTTATTGACATTTTGTAGTGCAGCTGAACAGGTATTATTTAATCAGTAAATGCCAATCTTGTGATTCTCTTCCTTTTTTTTCAATGAATGATAAGGCAAGTGATAAATCGAAAGAAACTTTATCCAATGGTTTGCCCATAATTAATACTTTTAAAAATTTGTCCTTAAAGAGGCCGGAGGAAAGCCCAATTGTAAATGAGGCGTTATGCTCTGTTTGCATAAATTGCTTTAAGCAAATATATCACATATAAAAGCAAAAAAACTTTACTTTCAGTAAGATAAAATGAAAGTTGCCGTTATTTTGGCAATATTTTTAATAGTCTACGCTAATGCACGTTAGTTGATATAGTAAAATTTTTTACAAAATCTTCTAAGTACTTGCTATTTGGCTTTCTTTTTACAATTTTTAGGCTCTCTGAGAATGAGGAAGTCCTCCGATTTTAAAAGGACCAGTTAGTTCATTCTTTAAATAGAGCTATTTTTAAATTTCAGCTTTATTCCCATAATAATTACTGTTCCTTCTTTATAAAACAGACTACAATGCTGGTGGTGGGCCTACGAGTAAGCTAATTTATTCCCACTTAATTCAGCTGTTTTTTCTTCTTTCATAGGCTGTCAACTAATCTCATTTTTTAGCGAAATAGTCTAATACTATATTGAATACAATGCGGGATATGAAGTATGGAATTGCTTTAATTAGTGTTTTATCCCATGGACAAGTGATTAAATCACTGTTAACCATAAAAAGTATTTGAATACCACACGAGGAAACCAGTTCAAGGGTATATGTAACGGTGTGAAGAGAATACTAATGGGACTTCTTGTGCGGTTGAGGCATTAAATATCGTGTTGCATTTAAATAAAATGCTGTTTTTACTTATTTTGATAGTATATTATGATTGCATTTACTGTATTCAGTGCTTGCTTTTCGTGATTTATTTTCATAGGATTTTTGTCAGTGAATTGAGACTAACACCGATTAGTTCGACACGAAACAGTCTATTTAAGGCACTTACTTTGATTCTATCCTATAATTTATCTACAGACCCTTGTCACATGCCGAAGAATTCCGGTATGGGTCACGCCTACATTCCATCTTATTATTTTGACTACCAAGAGGGCGTGTGTCTCCCCTTCATCTATGGTGGTATGAGGGGTAACGCTAATCGCTTCAGCACTCTTCATGAATGTGAAACGTTCTGCCTCGTTGAGTAGACATTATGTCACCCTGCTTATTTTTCTTCGCGCTATTTTTCCTTAAAATTCATAACATAATAAACAATTGAGTTATATCAGTAGTTATTCTTATTCAATAAAAGTAGGGTACTTAAATAAAATAAATAAGAATGGTATAAATGAAAAAAATTACGAAATTTAAAGTATGCAAGCTAATTATCAAATAATTATTACTATTTCAAATGGCAGGCTTTATGATATTTATCATTAGCCCCTTAACTGACTTCGGCTTTCACAAGGGGGGGAGGTACACTTATAGCAGTTCATTAGTTATCTTCTGGATTCCCAGTATCTGGGTATTATCATGTAATTAAAGCAGTGAATTGATGTTAACTTAAAAAATAAGTGCACGATGTTGACATGGCTGAACAAAGAAATCTCATGTGCGCTCAGGCAGTCTCGAATATGCGACCGTGCAACTTGGCAAGTAGGGAGCAAGTGTGGCAGCGAGCACAGAGACCTCTCAGTCAGTTACCAATCGATAGTCCTTTTATCGATTACGGATTACTACAAGAATAAGCCTTAACTTTCAGTGAACTCTATGGTGAGATCCCCTACTCAGGTTGCATGTCCTGTGAGGCACACAACTTCACCTCCGAACAAATAATCTCATGCTCACCCAGACAGGCTCAAAGATGCGGCCGTGCATCTTCGCTTAGGGAATAAGTGCTGTTATGGGTGCGGAAGCACACAGCCAACCGTCAATCAATAGTCCTTGCACTGTTTGGCAAATCCGACACATTAATGCATAGGCTAAGCTCCTTGTCAGGGAACACACACACACGCACCATTCACACATAACCCGAATAAACGTTTTCGGTGTGGAGCGTCTGTTTCCTCTATAACTTTACGGTAGCTTAGTTCTGGGAGACTTTCCAAACATAAGAGAATTTGCCATAGGGATTTCTGAGTATAGTCGAGGCTTATTAGTGTAGCGATCCGCTACAGCGCCCAACGCCACTATTGATTGGCATTTGACTGAAAGGTCTGCGCGTTCAAGGTCTCATCATTAAGCCTGAGTGCGCATGTTCAGTCATGTTAGCCGTTTGCACTCCGAAATTCCAATCTGAGTGTTAACGAAAACTGTTTTCAACAGGAAAACTTATACAGTCGTGAATTGTCCGCAAATATCAGGTTGGAAACTAAGTCATTGCCGATTTCAAATAAGAAGGCAAATTCGGAATTTTTGTTTAAAAATAACTTTATTCAATTAGATATTGGCCGTTCTTGTCGATGACCTTTTTCCATCGTTCTGGCAGAGTAAAAATTCCCCGTTCGTAAAATGTCTGGTCTTTGCTATTAAAAAACTGAATTAGGTGTGATCCGACATCATCCGCGTTGTTACAAATTTTACCATTTAAAGAGTTTTGCATGGAACGAAACAAATGGTAATCCGAAGGCGCAAGGTCAGGGCTATATATGGGGTGGGTGTGACAAAACATCCCAACCCAGTTCCAATAATTTTTGCCGAGTAACCAAAGATGTGTGGGGCCTTGCGTTATCATGATGGAAAACAACACCCTTCCGATTTGATAATGTCGGCCGCTTATCTTCAATTGCATCCTTCACTTATTCGAGTTCTTCAACATACACATTTGAATTTATCGTTTGGTTCTGCGGCATGAGTTCAAAATACAAAATTCCTTTGTGATCCCACCAGACTATTGACAGCATAATCTTTTTTTGGTGAATCTCTGCTTTTGATACTGTTTGGGCTGGTTGATCTTGCTTCACCCATGATCTCTTGCGAGTAACATTGTTATAAACTATCCACTTTTCGTCGCCAGTAACTAGGTTCTTCAGAAATGGATCATTCTCATTCTCATTGCGTTTCAGTAGCGGCGAATCACAGATGCTAATCCGTTGCGTCAAATGAATTTCCTTTAACTGGTGAGGGATCCATAAATCAAGTTTCTTGACATAACCAAGGGTTATGTCAATTTTTTTTCAATGCATGTATGCGACACATTGAGCTTCTCTGCAATATCTCATGTTGTGCTGTGACGATTTGAATCGATAATGGCCTTGATATGGGTTTCATCCACTTCGACTGGGCGGCCAGATCGTTGTGAATTTGTCAGTAAAAAATCACCGGAACGAAATCTTTCAAACCAATTTCGACACTGCCTTTCTTCCTCACGGCTTCATCTCCATATACGGCACATAACTTCTTTTGTGCTTGCGATGCGTTCTTGCCTTTTCGGAAGTAATACAATAAAATGTGTCGAAAGTGCACGTCCTGTTCTTTCATTTTTAAACTGGGATAAAAACAAAACTAAAGAACTAAACAAAAAAATTTTTTACTAATTAATCTAGAAGCCCATAGAGTAAGAAAAAAATATGGGTTAGATGCTCTGGCCACGTTAACAAAACAAAAGAAAGTATAGAGTGAATCTGTCAATAAAAACGGCAACGACTTAGTTGCCCACTCAATATATGAATTTCTTGAGAAAGTAATATTGAATAATCTCTGGCAAATAATAGGTTTATAAAGGTGGCCAAAATACTATTGGAAATAACCTTTAGATAGACTTCTAAGGAAAGGTGAATTAGAATAGTATCATTTTACAGTTTTTGGTGTGAGAAATCTAATAGTCTAGTACATATGGGACTGACAAATAATAAAATGAATTTTGGAATGGAAAACGCTGATTTATCTATCTGCCGTACACACCGAGCAGATAGCTCGACCTTCGCAAGAAAGATAGGTTGGGGATTACTTCTACGCAATGTAAAAATGAATACCAGGGTTTTCCGAAAATCCGCATAGGGGCGGCTAAGCGGAAAATTTTATATCAAGAAACAATTTTTGGAATCAAATAACCGCCCATCACAAAAAGCGTCCGTGGGCTTACTGACCCCGCTAACTGGTATTTTATCGGAAGTGTGCTCAAACCGAAGCAAAGCAACCGCTAAAATTTAATCCGTTTATCAACCTCCAATCCAAAGTTTAGACCACTTCCACCCTCAATTGAGGCCAGAGTAGAGGCAGTATGCCACAGAGCCTTCTTAATCGAAGTCGCCACATTTCATTGATTAAATGGACAAACCACTTCAAGGAATTAAACGATGACGAGAACTAAAAGCCAGACAGCACCCAAGTGATATTTCATTTCATACATGTTATATATACACAGTATCATAAGGAAAGAATATTTACATCAAGAAGTAGATGATAAGTAGTCAGCAAGATCCAAGATGTAAACTTGTTTCTAAGACCTTTTGATTTTTTTAGTGGTGCTTGATTCCGTTTCCTCCTCATCTTCCTCATTGTCTTCCACCTTTGCATCTGGTATGGAAAGATATAATCTTTTGTGAGAGGTATTCATGTACGGTCGCCATACCCATTCCACTTGGGCAGTGTCCTCCTCATGTAATGGACCACGCCAAATCTTGTATACTAAAAGGCCAAACAAATTTAAGTGATTTACATATCTTGTTTTCAAACATATAACCAAAGTAATTATATCAATAACTAACATCTCATATCGAATTGTGGCCCGTGTTCTTCTATTTCCAATTCGTTATTCACATACTTGTAGGTAACGTGTCTAAAATAGAAACCAAGAAACATAATAATTGAGATTCAGACCCAATAAACTACCACTGCATAAGTAGAATACCTGAATCGAATAACATCATCATTGGCATTATACCATAATATGACACGCTTTGAGTCTTCCTTGGGAATTGGGAAAATGTACTTTAATATAGTATGCACACGTTTTCCCAATGGCGAGTTCAGACCAAGAAAAAGGTGCTGGGGGTAAGCCGTTGGAAACTTTGCACCACTCCCTCTACCCTTCTCTGCAAAATCATGACGAGTAACTACATTATAAAGTGTAAATTTCGCAGTTGGGCCAAAAGGAAGATGGCTCACAGTCAATGTGTCTGGTACACCACGAGTTTCATTTACAATAACCACGTCCGTTATCTGCCGGAAAGAAGAGATAATTAAAAGGAAAATGCATATGGGAGACCGATTTAGCGCCAACCTACATTTCTGGCAAGGCAAGCGTCCATGATATTCTTAAACAAATAATTCCCTCGGTTAATTTTAGTCGAATTAGGAATGAGATGTCGAAGTTCCTTAGCAAACTCTGATAACTTTGAACTAGGAGAGCGAGATGTAGTTATAACTACTCTAGGTTCCCCATCGTAGTTGTGATATTCGTCCGTCTCAGCATCTAAGTCACCTTCACCACCGTCGTCGCTCCAATCAAGCTCTTCGTTAAGATCGACTGCAGAAGATGTGATGTCCTTCGGTAGCTTAGTTCCTTCAGCCAAGGCAGCTTTAAGCTGTTGCTTCTTTTCCTTCTGGGCCTTGTCGCGGGCCTCAATGGAGCGTCTGTATATGAACTCTCTACGAATGCGCGCTTGTCTCCGTAGCTACAAATAAAATGAAAAAAAAATATTTAAAATAATGGCTTCCTGTTAAAAGATATTAAGGAAACCAGAACTCCGAAACCACACAACACACCATGACTTAAAAAGCGACTGCAATAAAACGGTTTGCACCAAGCCAGTTATTTTAAACAAAGTATTTGAGGTCGCAGGAAGTTTTATTAAAATTTACTTATAAACTCTATTGAATAAAGCACTGCTAGATAATATATTTCTTAATTTTCTATTATCTAACATTTTTTATTTAAAATTTAAATACAAAGAAGTGTAACCTGAGACAATTAATATAAAATATTTGTGATAGCAAATGTATTCTAGCATTGTTTTGTGGATTATAATTTGATTCTCAATTTTTATTTTTTCAGTGATCAAGAAACTTTTGTTAAGCGAAATTCCCCAAAATATTGTTTACTTATCACAAATATCATTTATATTAAACAAAGACTCTGAAAGAAAATAATAATTCAATTTCCCTGTTATTAACATTCTTTTTCTTCATTAACTTGACGAATATTTCTTTTTTTGACTACATTGTGCGAACAATACAAATAATTAATATCACGGTCTCGTTGTAGAGAAAATCGATTTTCCCTCAGATTCCTTTGACCATTTCGCTCTCTCTGTCATCTCCTATATTAGTCTAGGAGCTACATGAGAACTGTTTGATTCATTCTCACCCTGCAATAAGAACAGAATAAATCAAGAATCTACTCACATTTCGCCACTCTACGAAATGCAATCCCACTGATTCATACTTCCGAGTGTTAATGCGATCCTAATAACTCTTGAATTTTCTTTGCCTATGCTTGTGTTGTACCCATATGGCCTACGAATCATTTAAGTTTATTGACATCTAGAGTTCACCTCGCACCGATGATATATTTTGCTTTTTACAAACTCACTATATTTATGTCAGTTAGATATTAATCCAATAGCACCTTCGCAATCTCACCATCTCCTACAAAACAAAACAGACCACCTTTTCCAACAAAAATGATAAATAATTACGATATAAAGGTGCGTGGAGAAATGATTATGTAAAATTAAGTAGATCTTCATGCCAACACATAGTTTAATAATCCTCCTTGTGGATACTAATAAGAGAATGTAATCATTTAATAATGTCATTAGATGTATTTGGTCAAATATGTGCCATAGCTTTGATATAAGTGCAATAAGGAATGAAAAGTGCGGATATCAGTATGTGGAGACACTTTCTTCTATCTCTTAGTCAATAATGACTTGATGATTAAAGGAAATTGAGAACACATTATAAGCAAATCGTTCATCATTCTATGTTGAAGCTCAGTAGAGGAAAATCAATTAGTACGAATCTTATATTAACAGTTCATATGAAGTATTGGTTTAACCACCGATTGTGGTTAGAAAAATGCAAAGCTATTTTGCTGATAATAATCTGTTAAGCTAATTAAATAAGAGCATTCACCCTAGCTTCCGAATGCACGAGAGATTTATCAAGTTTCTATCATGCATGCTTGATAAATAGTAAGTTATGTTACTGGGTATAAAAAATGATATTTAGTAATAAACAAATAAATATGACATTAATTGAAGAATTTCATACATTCAAGCAGTAATGCGTAAAATAAACTCTCAATTTGGTAATATAAATGTAATTTATCGATTAAATTTCTCAATTATTTCGCTGTTTGCTATAACCAACAAAATCGACCTGATGACCTAACCGATTATTTGAAGTGAATATTTGCTCATCTATCTTATATGGTCTGAGTCTACTTCGCTTTCTTTCCAAGTATTCGAGCAGGATATTAAACAAGATATTCAATAATAGTAATATGCTCAACTCTCACATTCAAATTGTCTACATTTCTGTTTACGACATTTGTTTTTATTTGAGAAATTTTCCCATGGACCTGTATTATCTAACAATGAAGAAGATTTTTGGAAGTGAATTAAGTGAGTGTTTGACCATTCTTTCATGTTTGACACACTTATCTTTCATTTAAACCTTCTCTCTGACTCGATTTGTCTTGAATTGCATCTCACACACTAAGATGGAAAGAACTGACCGAAACATGACAATAGATTACAAAGCTTTCATATGTCAGAATCATGTTGTGGAGGCTCATTTTCAACTAAGGAAACAAGGTAAATGATCTGAATTTGTGTCGCTAGTTATATCTACTGAGCCATTACGACGCCTATGACCTTTTAGGCTTCTCAGCTATTGCGCATGGTCAATCACTGGTCGTTGGCACATTTGTTTTTGAATCCACATCTGTCAATCGAAAAATCATCTCCAATTCGCTCTCTACAACTCACCTCTCTGTATGAAACTAACCATGATAGAAGATCTGAATCTTAATAAAATAAAAGATAAATTTTTTATAACTTCGAACAATATTTTTACTGAAATGCCATGGTGAAAGTTCATTTGAGCGGAAATGTCGTGACCAGTAAGCGCATTGAAAGCAACCATAAGAAGTAAAGCACTCTGGTTCTATGATTTGAAATGGTCCACTACTCATTTTTCAGAAGTAATACAATTATGCCCAAGTTCCGAAATCACGAGAATATCTCTTTTATGAACTATTATTTAAAGATTTCAGATTCATGACGAAGTTGTCAGAGCCACTTTGTTAAGTCCAGACAAATGTAGACATTGAATGAAGCAAGGGAGTTAAGTGGTTGGGAACTGGACTTTACCCAGGTCACCTCCACCATCGTTAACATTTGGTGAAAGAATGCAGATGGATTGGAAGCGAAAATATTAGTGTCCATACATGCCACTTAAATAAAGCAAGTCGAATTAATTTTTACGTAATTCAATATAATTTAATATAGATGAAATTAGAGCAAGTTAATTGAATGTACAATTTTGGACGTGATCCAGATGGCGGAAGCCAAATGAACTTCAATGGATAATTGGATGTGTACAGACCATTTACCTGTACTTCACTTTCACCCTCCTACTTTCCGTCGATTCCGTCAGTTTTGTATCATAAAACGGTTGACGCTGCAGTCTCCAAAGATACCATGTTATCGGTGTACTCACCGTATACTTACTTCAATAGGTAGTTGGGTGAAATTGAGAGAGGTGAGAGAAGCGAGTTGATCTGTGAGTTGGATGATTAGAAGTGGCGGTGTGTCATGGCAGTGAGGAAGTGACAACCATAGCAAAAACTTGAAAGTATCATAATTGAAGTTAGTAGTAAGTAAAATGTTCAAAAACCGTAGATTGTTAACTGACTAGAAAGAATGGCACATTTTGTGCATGATCTATCTAAAGACGTGATATCGGAAGTAGACAACACTTTCAGGTAGAATTCGACTATAAAGATATGAATTTTGGATGATCAAATCACCAGATTGAAAATAAACTGGCATAAAACGCCTTAGACAACAACAGTTTATCACCTTTACTTTCTCCTCCGTGAACGCCGTCTGGATGTTGGCAATACTCTCCTATTTCTTGCACGCAACTCTCCTCATTCTCATCCCAATCTTCCTTTACTAGACTCAATAGGTCTTCTCGCATCTTCTTGCATCCATTTCAAAATTCTCTTGCATTATTCATTGTTCCTCTGCTTCGCCTTATCATGAACCTCATACTGCCTTTCAATCATCAGAAGCACACTCGTCGAGCAATTGTCGCACTCACCCCGCCAGCATACTCCCTTCTTCCCCTCCTCCTCCTCCTCCTCGTCTTCCCACTGGTGTTCTACTTTTCTACTCTCTTCGTCCTTTCCTCGACCCCTTCATATTTCTCGCACAGCCTTCCTGCAGGTAGTACTTCCGTGTTTTCTATTGCCCCTTTTCCTTCCAACAGTTCTTCTACTTCCATAGGCCAAACTTTTCTAACCCGCTTCGATCTTCTGATGCTTGGTGGCACGGGACAATTTTCATCAATACCAACCGTCAATTTAGGCAATTCACTCGTTCATGCTGCTCTATTTGTACCATAAGCATTGAAATCTCCACGGAGAAAACAGTGCAAATATTAAAATCATTTTGCTCCAAAGTGCTAATATTTACTATCGATAAGCAGAAGGCTTTAATGATTATTTCCTTCTGTAAAAATCGTATAAGTTTTGTGTGAAGATCAAGGTGCAGTGTGGCTCCCCCAAAACACAGACACAACAACTCCGTCTTGTCTACCTGATATCACACCAGACACACAAGAGAGCGTCTTGCAATGTGTCAAACACCGAGACTTAAGCCAGGTTTTACTAGCGTAGAAATCCGCTACAACTGTCAAATGTGAAAATCACCTAATTTGACTGAAAGGTTACTGTTTAAGACTGCACTGAAACTTTCTGTATTTGAGAAACAAAAGGTGGAAAAATATTCTTCACAACCAGAAGCCATATTTATTGATTTTAAGTTCCAAATCAAATTCAACGAAGGGTTATTTTAGAGCTACCAATCAGAAGTTAATTCCTTAACCAATCAATGCAATCGGCCAATGAAATGTGATGACTCATCAATATATCCATATTTATATTGTTGAATTAAAATGGCTTTATCCTATTTGGAGATGGACTCGAAACTCTGTTCCATGTTGTGCTTTGCTCTCTTCCTTTGGGGGACCTTTGCAACACCGGTTAATAGAACGCAGTTGAAGTCAATGTCTCCTGACATCACGCCCGCTGGCTTTTACTACTACCCAAACCAATTTCAATTTGGAGAAATCCCGAGTTACGGCTCCATGCCTGGGGACGTTGTCTACCAACAGGCAGTCCACAATTACCACTTCGGTTCCTACGTTCCACTTCCTCCGATGGAACCCGTTTGGTACCCACCACAGTCTCAGTTTCCTCTCTATTTTCCACAACCACCAGTTGGCTTGATTTTCAGACCCAAAATGACAAAAGAAGAGGAGTTCTACAAGAATGACCCAACTGATCGAATGGATCCGGCAGTTCATTATGCCATTTTGAAGTACATGCCCACAATCCCTGTGGAGTTAGCCAATACCCTGTACGACATGGAACCCAACTACGTGAAGTACATCCTAAGTAGGCATCAATACCTTCCACAACTGTTGATGTCCATGGATTCTACCACTTTAAACTACGTCCTTCTTATTGGAGATCTGGGTGGCGAAATAGCTCAATTCGGTGTGGAAGATGTGAACAATCTTTTCCACAAAATGGACAGCCCATGCGCATATATTTTAATCCAGAAAAATGATGTTAGGCAAGCGATTATTGCAAAGGCACCACATCTGGCTTCGTGTAGGGCGGCTCCAATTCATTCAGAGATTAATACGCCTAAGTCTAAGCCTACTACTGCTAAACCAGTAAGTGCAATGAGCATTTTGAAACTCGCTAATCAAAGAAAACTGAAATCGGTGCGATCTGCGTTGCCCACATTCGATCAGGAAGTGGAAGGACTCGTCAGAAAGTACGGTGATGTCTTCAGCGTGAATGCTGATAAACTGAACGCGGAAGGTGTCAAACAAATTCTTCTTGAAAATTGTTCTCATGAACCTCTCTTTAAAATCTTATTTGACCTTTTCTGAGCACTTTGTAATCACTACCTTCAAATGAAATATGGAATTGAAATTGTGTTTTATCTTATACGATTTATTGGTCAAATGATAGGGATCAGATTTTATTAGTGTCAAACGTGCAATTGGTTGCAATATTTGCAATTGAAATAGAGAACTTGGAGTTAAGAATTTACATTGAATAGCCATAGTCGTAGAGTTTCCAAATATATACTGTCGGGAGACTCAATTCAACTAGCACATTGGTCAGATTTTTGCGTAGTAAGAAGAGGTCTCAATGAAATACCCAAATACGCATAATGTATCAGCTATTATAGGTATATCGAAAGCTAATTTGGAATAAACTTGATCATGAAGCAAGAAACTCTCAAGGATGTCTAATTTGGAACGTTTTAAACTATTCAAGCAACAGCCAGTTCGATCTCGAACGGAATGGAGTGATGTAGGACTACATGTAAACCTGAAGTTGCTTTGTGTATGCGTTTTATTCCTTTCCATTTACCAGATGCTTGGCTTCCTCCTAGTCCACCAAGTGGCCTCGACATTTACAATAGTGCTTTTGGGCTACTCTGGTTAATAATAATAATAATAATAATAATGATAACAATTTATAAAATAACGTGAAATAGGGGTGGGTGGCGCAGAGATTTCTGTGTGTTCCTTCGAAGTTGAGGATCGCGGATTGGAAGCACATGGGACATGCACTGATTGAGTGGGATGGGCAGTCGCTGTGTTTAAGTCCACCTTCTTGCCGTAATACTTGCCCAATGTTCAAATGAGTGTCAGAAAGGCCTCACCTGAGTGATTCTGCATATTATCGATTATTTGTGTTGAAGATGAATTGATAGTTTGAATGGGCCTATTCAACTTCCATGCTTTCTGACGGGTTATACCTATTCCTCACCACCAATATAGAGGCGGTGTGTAAATGACATAAGGGGTGCAGAAGATCTCGTACCAGCATGCTTCCCCTTGTAGCCACATAATCAACACTAGTATTTCGATTTCAATAATGTGATTGTAAGGTGACCTTACACCTTATAACCCCTTCCTCAATTCTGGACTTATGAACTTTTTGGCAACTACCCAATAATTATTATTGCCACACAAATATGTAGGATAAATATTCGGAATAAATATTGTTTGATTAAGTAGATTCTGAGAATATTTAATTAATAAAGGGCACTTTGGCAATAAGTTGAATTTCGAAATTACTAATTCATCTATTTCTGCTACTGACGGCTACGAAACACTTCACGTGTGTGACTAATACTCTGTCGTTTCTTTCAGTCAGATCGGTTTTTTTGATTTAGTCAGACTGGTT